CTGAGTAGTTACTTCGATCTGTGTGTTATAGGAGTACTAAGCAATAAATGCCTCAGCCAACTCCTCCCAACTTTGCTTCACTTTATCATCCAGCTTGGTATACCAAGTGGTAGCAATTCCCTACAATGTCCTCCAAAACAGAGACAATTTCTAATGATGGTTCAGACCCATGGGTTTCAAAATATCTAAGAAAAAGTGGATATGCACCACAAGGTCCTCTGATCCATCAAACCGATCAACATGTGGTATTTTGAATCTTTCTAGTAATTTGACAGCTACTTCTATATACCCATCCATAATGTCAAGAATAGAATTGATCCCCTGAGACTCCTTGAACAACTTGTCTAACTTGATTATTTTCAACATAGTGATATTGTAGACGTCCCCGAACGTCCCGGGAGGGAACCCCCCCGTTTTGTTCATATGGGCTCACTACAGTTTAGGACTCAAATGTCACGGTCCTGTATCTAATCTCGCAGAGTGCAATGCAAGACCGATGAATCATCAAAGAGTCCAAATTCGGCAAATCGTTTTTGAAAACAGATTTTTTTGAAAGAAGTGCCAAACATGGACTGTTTTGCCAGATATAGAGTCGCCACCTAAATATTTTATTTTGGGGAATTTAGGAAACCCTGACTCGTTTTCCTAAGGCCACGTGTCCGTCATCACCAAAGTTGCCTCGGCTCGGGAACTTGGGTACGATTGGGGAAGGTCACTTCGTGAGCACCCCCGCTCGCCCGATCAAAGATCGACCTCTACTAACCATGATATCGAGTTTTGAAAACATTATGTGTTCTTATTCCGGTTATTAGCCTAGATTTACTACGTGATGCACACAGCATACAAGTATAGGCTAGATTGCCTGAATTGGAACAAAATATTTCATGTTTGTTTTTTAAAGTGGTTTGCTACTCGTAAGTAGGCTTAAAATGCAGATTTTGTCACCCTCGGGTGGGCTTAGAAAACATGGTTTTGCCACTATCTAGTGGGCTTAAAACTCACAGTCAATGCATTTTTCCAATTCGGATAATCCAACCTTCACCCACAGGCATTCAGGAAGGTATATCAGATAAGCACATAGCCTCATGGTAAGCATGCTATCATGGCAGTCACTCACACACATGCAAGGATGCTAAAGCATAAACACTTACCGAGTACTCCAAGCCAAAACAGAAGCTATGTTAGAAATCTATGCTTGATCCTAACTATGCTGAGATGCCTAATGCAACACATGCAGGAATGAAACTACAATAGACTCGGTTATTCTAAAGATGGCATGTGAAACGCTACAACTAACAAGTATTCAACTCGGAATTGAAATGCAATGCAGTTAGTATGATGCGCCAAGCCCGGTGCATGCAAGACAGATGAATGAATACAAACATGCGAGCATAAGTATGCTAATTGAAACATGCCCTAATCTAACCATCATAAGCTGATAAATAAAAGGGAGAAAGACGTGGGGTTGGAAGACATACATCACACACACACACACTTATTACAATTGTGCCCTCGCTCGGAGGGTCCGAATAAATAATACAGTCCGAATAAATAATTAAATACTCTAGCTAATTAAATATTACAAAACCCTAATTAATTAACAAATTAACTAGGAAAACGAATAAACTAGCATGCAAGCTATAAAATGGACTGCCTCAGCTCTTGTTCCGAATGATGAAAGATGCATGCATGCTTGCATCGCCTCGTCGGTAAATTCCATCGCGATGCCTCACCTCACCCTTGTTTGCATTTGATCTCAGAAACTTGCACAAAGCTCCAGAAGGCTGAAACTCCACCTTAGGAAGGCCACCGACCAGTTATTAGCATGGGAGACCACCTGCCGACCACCTGTAGGCAGGCCCGCGGAGGGACCTCGCTACAGCTCGGACTCGATTTTCGTCAGTCGGTTCTTAATCTGAACCAAAGAGTCCAAATCCGGCAAATCGTTTTGAGAAAAACTGATTTTTGAAAGAAGTGCCAAACATGGACTGCTTTGCCAGATACAGAGTCGCCACCTAAATATTTTATTTTGGGAAATTTAGGAAACCCTGACTCGGTGCCAAAAGGCCACGTGTCCGTCATCACCAAAGTTGCCTCGGCTCGGGAACTTGGGTACGATTGGGGAAGGTCACTTCGTGAGCACCCCCGCTCGCCCGGTCATAGACCGGCCTCTACTAACCATGATATCAATTTTTGAAAACATTGTGAGTTCTTATTCCGGTTTATTAGCCTAGGTTACTATGTGATGCGCACAACATACAAGTATAGACTGGATCGCCTGAATTGGAACCAAAACATTTTATGTTCGTTTTTTGAAAGAGGTTTTGCTACCCGCAGGTAGGTTTGAAACATCTGATGATTTATTCCAATTCAGAAAACCCAACCTTCACCCACAGGCATTCAGGCAGATATATCACATAAGCAATTAGCCTCATGGTAAGCATGCTATTCATGGCAGCACTCACACGCATGCAAGGATGCTAAAGCATAAAAACTCACCGAGATCAGGTGGAAAGGTCTCGAATCAAAAATATGGTCGATCAACCAAAAAGAGTGTCGATCGGCCAACACTCTTGGCCGATGGCAAGGAAACAATGCCGATGGCATCATGCCTTAGCCGATGGGTTGTGGGGAATGCCAACAAGCCACCCTCTTCCCTCAGAAACAAAACCACAAGTCCTTGGTCCACAACCAAGCACAAAACAAACAAGTTAAGAGATCCTTAGGCAATGCGCGCAGCCGAGACTTCCGGGAACTCAAAACGAACACGAGCATAGATGATCATCGAGTGTTCAAACGATGACATCCAAGTCTTGAGGACGGTCAAAAATGGGGTGTCTACAGATGGCTTACCAAATCTCGATCGAGCCTGCAGAGGTTGGACACAAGCTAGTCAGAGTTCGGGGTTCGTCTCAAGTATGAACCATACTTTACGATTCGCACCCCACATTTCATTTCAGATATGTTTATTGCAGACACTGATCATCCAAATGCATTTGCA